GTACTCTCCCCAGGTCATCATCCTTTTATGTGACAGTGCTCATGCTTTGTTTTGCGTAGGTTAGCGCCGTAATCACCTTCGACACGATACACCAAGCCCTTATCACGCACACCGGCATGATCATTCCCCTGACACCGCTTTTTCCACTTTTAATATTATCCGTGCAGTTTACTCATATACCGTCTCGAACTGGGGGAATACGCATTTTCTTGAGCGCCTAGTCCGGTACGTGGCCTTTCTCATGTCTCCATCATCTGTGTACCGACCTAGGAATGCAGTACTTTGTTGGTTGAAATCATATTCACTGTGCGACTCCATTCCTCCGCTTTCTCCAGGATTGCTAACTAATCATTTGGGGGCAGGGATTGACGGCATTACTTGTGCAAAGGTGAGTCACTGAGAACCGTCTTTCCTGCCTTGCGAACAGGAGGTTGAATTATTATTTTTTCCCTAGTTTTTTGACAGCACGCATTTGGATATGTACGTCTCTCTCCCTGTACCCAATTCTCGTCGAATTTTGACCAGATTCGTAGTGAGTGATCGAAACATATGGCTAACGGGTGTCATCGTACGTTTGCCTGCATCACTGAGTTTGTGAATTCTCTGATGGCAACACAGGGTGTACTCGTCGTCGGAGAGTTTGGTCTGTCTTTATCCTTTCGTCTTCCTTGAGATTTTCTGAACCTGCTCTTGCTTCAGGAAGCATCCTAGGTTCATTTCAATTGTCCACCCTCTTTTATTCTGCTCACTCAAAAAACTCCACCAGCGTATACGATCATTTCGTGGGTGTCCCCTCCACCTATTCGAGACGTTGCCGTTTAACATAACAATATAGTTTACCATTGGAAACCTTCGCTGAACTCGCGCACCTGAAAGCAAGTCCCGTCCTCCACTTTCTCTACATTACCTTTTTTAAATTTATTGCATGAACCAGACGCTGTCAATCACGGTCAACGCGCTAGCAGCAGCAGGAGACATCCTCATTGCTGGTACATTATGCACACTTTTACATCTCTCACGTACTGGGATACATCGGTACCTTCGTCTTTCTTCTTTCAATTCTCAAAAGTGGGCTTACAGACTGTCATACGCAGGTCAGATACGATATATACTAAACTTGTGTGTGACACTGTTCCTTTTCTTTTTTGACTCTCGTTCATTTCGCCGGTTCTAGATTGTTTTCTCCTTAAACACAGGCCTCCTCACTAGGTAAGCTTCCACCATCAGACTTTCTAATGTGAGGCCAACCCGACACATAAAGCCTGTGCGCTGTAGCATCCCTCGTTTCCGTACGTTATTTCTCCCTTATTCGCCGTCTGGTAACATTCCATTGTTCAGATCCTTGCAGCTGGCAATACGTTCATTTACATCGCATTTTTCTTCTGCATGGGACGTCGTGAGTCCGATTTTCCCTTTCCTCTCTCGAAAACCCCACTCACACAAGAAAACTAGTTTATACAAACTCCCTCCTAGCGACACTCAACGCGCGAAAAAGGATTCGCGGATTGTCTGATGGGATTGATACTCTCAGTACAGGCGTGGGGTCTTTGAGATTCGCCAGACGGTCAACCGTGCTTGGAGCTCGTTCGTCTGGTCCGACAGGTTCTCAGCCAAATGCATCATACGCAACATCAACGTATCGGTTCATCGTAAGTTTTTCGTTTATTTTCGAGCGGGTATCTTGACGAAGGCTGGTATCATAAAGCGGGACATTGCGTCGGTTTCGATGAGGGAAGAAAATGCCTATCCTGACACAGTACGTTCTACTTCCTTTAGTATCTCATTCCGAACTAAAGGAATTTTTACCAACTCACGTAGGATCGGGGTAAGGAGGTAAATTTATTCGATCAACCTGTTTGTTGATATCTATGCTTGGCTGCGTGCGGAGGGGAATAGAATCCGGATCGGGATATGTATTTTACACAAGATGGCGTTAACGCTAGCTACGTATTGTCGTATATCTTTATACAGTGTAAGTTGGAAAAGGCGTTGCCAACAAGAACTGAACGTTCAAGCTACAACCCCCGATTTTCGTCCACATCCCATAAACTGTACCCCGAATTTTCGTCGAACCGAACAGCATACGTCTTATTATAGAAGGGAATCCA